ATATATTTTCCTCTCAGGACTGCCTTTGCTGTGTCCCACAGATTTTGAACCGTTGTATTTTCATTATCATTTGTTTCCATGACTTTTTTCAATTCTTTAATTTCCTGGTTGACCCATTCATTCTTTAGAAGGATGCTGTTTAGTCTCCATGTATATGGGTTCTTTCCAAATTTCCTCCTGTGACTGAGTTCTAGCTTCAGAGCATTGTGGTCTGAAAATACGCAGGGAATGATCCCAATCTTTTGATACCGGTTGAGACCTGATTTAGGACCCAGGATGTGATCTATTCTGGAGAATGTTCCATGTGCACTAGAGAAGAATGTGTATTCTGTTGCTTTGGGATGAAATGTTCTGAATATATCTGTGATGTCCATCTGGTCCAGTGTGTCATTCAAGGCCTTTATTTCCTTGTTGATCTTTTGCTTGGTTGATCTGTCCATTTATGTGAGGGGAATGTTAAAGTCCCCTACTATTATTGTATTATTGGTGATGTGTTTCTTTGCTTTTGTTATTAATTGGTTTATATAGTTGGCTCCTCCCACGTTAGGGGCATAGATATTTAAAATTGTTAGATCTTCTTGTTGGACAGATCCTTTGAGTATGATATAGTGTCCTTCCTCATCTCTTATTATAGTCTTTGGCTTAAAATCTAATTGATCTGATATAAGGATTGCCACTCCTGCTGTCTTCTGATGTGCATTAGCATGGTAAATTGTTTTCCACCCCCTTACTTTAAATCTGGAGGTGTCTTCGGGTTTAAAATGAGTTTCTTGTAGGCAACATATAGATGGGTTTTCTTTTTTTATCCTTTCTGATGTCCTGTGTCTTTTGATTTGGGCATTTAGCCCATTAACATTCAGGGTAACTATTGAGAGATATGAATTTAGTGCCACTGTATTTTCTGTAAGGTGACTGTTACTGTATATTGTCTCTGTTCCTTTCTGATCTACTACTTTTACGCTCTCTCTTTGCTTAGAGGACCCCTTTCAGTATTTCCTGTAGAGCTGGTTTGGTGTTTGCAAATTCTTTCAGTTTTTGTTTGTCCTGGAAGCTTTTAATCTCTCCTTCTATTTTCAATAATAGCCTAGCTGGATATGGTATTCTTGGCTCCATGTTTTTTTCGTTTAGTACTCTGAACATATCATGCCAGCTCTTTCTGGCCTGCCAGGTCTCTGTGGATAAGTCTGCTGCCAATCTAATATTTTTACCATTGTATGTTTCAGACTTCTTTTCCTGGGCTGCTTTCAGGATTTTCTCTTTGTCACTAAGACTTGTAAATTTTACTATTAGGTGACGGGGTGTGGACCTATTCTTATTGATTTTGAGTGGAGTTCTCTGCACCTCCTGGATTTTGGTGCTTGTTCCCTTTGCCATATTGGGGAAATTCTTTCCAATAATTCTCTCCAATATACCTTCTGCTCCCCTCCCTCTTTCTTCTTCTTCTGGAATCCCAATTATTCTAATGTTGTTTCATCTTATGGTGTCACTTATCTCTCGAATTCTGCCCTCATGGTCCAGTAGCGGTTTGTCCCTCTTTTGCTCAGCTTCTTTATTCTCTGTCATTTGGTCTTCTATATCGCTAAATCTTTCTTCTGCCTCCTTTACCCTAGCAGTGAGAGCCTCCATTTTTGATTGCACCTCATTAATAGCTTTTTTGATTTCAACTTGGTTAGATTTTACTTCTTTTATTTCTCCAGAAAGGGCTTTTATATCTCCCGAGAGGGTTTCTCTAATATCTTCCATGCCTTTTTCGAGCCCGGCTAGAAACTTGAGAATCGTCATTGTGAACTCTAGATCTGACATATTACCAATGTCTGTATTGATTAGGTCCCTAGCCTTTGGTACTGCCTCTTGTTCTTTTTTTTTGTGGTGAATTTTTCTGCCTTGTCATTTTGTCCAGATAAGAGTATATGAAGGAGCAAGTAAAATACTAAAAGCGTAGCAAAGACCCCATGAAAATATGCTTTAACCAAATCAGAAGAGATCCCAAATCGTGGGTGGGAGGAGAAAGGGGATAAAAAGAGGCTCAGAAAGAAAAAAAAAAAAAAAGAAAAAAGAAGAAAAAGAAAAAAAAAGAAACAATTAAAAAAAGAAAATGAATAAAGATAAAATATAAAAAAGAAAAGAATATGTATATATATATGATAATCTAGTTAAAAACTTTAAAAAAGAAAAGGGTAAAAGTAAAAAAAAATTTAGTAGAAGAAGAGAGAAAAAAAAATTGAAAAAGAAAAAAAAAAGTAACTGTAAGACTAAAGAATCATGGGGAGAAGAAAGCCATGAGTTCTGTGCTTTGCTTTCTCCTCCTCTCGAATTCTGCCGCTCTCCTTGGTATTGAAACTGCACTCCTTTGGTAGGTGAACTTGGTCCTGGCCGGATTTCTTGTTGATCTTCTGGGGGATGGGCCTGTTGTAGTGATTCTCAAGTGTCTTTTCCCCAGGCGGAATTGCACCGCCCTTACCAAGGGCTGGGCTGAGTAATCTGCTCGGTCTGCTTTTGGGAGCTTTTGTTCCCAGAGCACTTTCCATAGAGTTCCGGAGGACGCGAATGAAAATGGCGGCCTCCCAGTCTCTGGCCGGGAGGAGCCGAGAGCTCGGGGCCCCACTCCTCAGTGCGCCCTCAGAGAATAGCACCCAATTACTCCGGTCTGCCGGGCCTCTGGCCGCGCTCTGAGCTCACTGAGCCTGCGATCGGTTCAAGGTAACCCCGAGCTATGAGCTCACTCCTCGTCTCTGTCTCTGTAGCCGGCTTCCCCGCTCTCATACCTGCAAGCTCTGCGACACTCAGCCACCCCCAATCGTTCTGTGACCCTGCGGGACTTGAGGCCACACTGACCCTGTGTGGCTTCATCCCTGTTTAGCCTCTGGAGCGATGTTTCTCAGCGGAGCAGACTTTTAAAAGTCCTGATTTTGTGCTCCGTTGCTCCGCCGCTTGCCGGGAGCCGGCCCCTCCCCCCACGGTCTATCTTCCCATAGCTTTGGATTCACTTCTCCTCCAGTCCTACCTTTTAGAAAGTGGTTGATTTTCTTTCTAGAATTGCTGTTTTTCTCTTCGATCTCCCATTGGATTTGTAGGTGTTTGCAATCTTTAGATAAGCTATCTAGCTGATCTCCTGCTATCTGAAGTAGTCTCAGCCTGCTACTTCTCTACCATCTTGACTCTGTTTTTTTTTTTTTTTTTTTTTTTGATACTAGCTATTCTAACGAATGTAAGGTGATTCCTCATTGTGGTTTTGATTTGCATTTCCCTTATGATGAGTGATGTTAGCCATTCTTACATAACCCTATTGGCCATCTGTCTGTGGAAAATGTCCATTGAGATTCTCTGCCCATTTTTTAATCAGTTTTACTTTTGTTATTGAATTGTATGAATTTCTTTTATATGTTTTGAGTATTAATCCCTTATCAGATACGTGGTTTGCAAATATTTTCTTCCATTTAGTAGGTTGCCTTTTCATTTTCTTGACCATTTCCTTTGCTGTGAAGAAAGTTTTTATTTTTTATTTATTATGTATTTATTTATTTTGGGGGGCACAGAGGGAGAGGGAGAGAGAGAATCTTAAGCAGGCTCCACACCTTGTGCAGAGCCTGACACGGGGCTTGATCTCATGACCCTGAGAATCATGACCTGAGCCAAAATCAAAGAGTCGGGCATTTAACTGACTAAGCCACCCAGGCGCCCCCAGAAACTTTTTAGTTTATTACAGTCCCAGTTGTTTATTTTTGTTTTGGTGTCAAATCCAAAATATTGCTGAGACCTATGTCAGGTGGCTTACTATGTTTTTCTACTAGAGTTTTTTGGTTTCAGGTCTTATGTTCAAGTCTTTTAATCCATTTGAGTTGATTTTGTGTATGATATAAGATAGTGGTTCAGTTTCAGTCTGTACATGTGGCTGTCCAGTTTTTCAAATGCCATTTATTGAAGAGACTGTCCTTTCCCCATAGCGTATTCATGTTTCATTTGTCATAAATTAATTGACCATATATGTGTGGGTTTGTTTCTGGGCTCTCTTTTCTGTTCCATTGATCTCTGTGTTTTTATGCCAATAGTATACTGTTTTGGTTACTGTAGCTTTGTCCTATAGTTTGAAATTGGGGCGTGTGATACCTCCTGCTTTGTTGTTTTTTCCCTTAGGATTGCTCTGACTGTTGGGGTCTTTTGTGATTCCATACAAACTATAGAATTGTTCATTCCGTTTCTGGGGGTAAAATACCATTGGAATTCTGATACGGATTGCATTGAACCTGTAGATTATTTTGGATAGTATGGCTATTTTGGAATTCTGATACGGATTGCATTGAACCTGTAGATTATTTTGGATAGTATGGCTATTTTAACTATTCTTACAGTCCATGAGCACAGAATATTTTCATTTATTTGTGTTTCCTTCAGTTTTTTGTTTTTTTTTCCCTTCCCTTCAGTGTCTCATGACTCAGTGTATAGGTCTTTCTCTTGGGTTAAATTTATTCCTAGGTTTTTTGTTTCTGATGTATTTGTAAATGGGATAGTTTTCTTAATTTGTCATTCTGATAGTTATTAGTGTGTGGGAACACAAAAGATTAGTATATGTTGATTTTGTATCCTGTAACTTTACTGAATTCCTTTTTTTAGTTCTAACAGTTTTTTTGGTAATTTTCTTTAGTTTTCTAGGTATAATATCATATCATCTGCAAATAGTGACAGTTTTACTATTCCTTCTTAATTACTATTACTATTACTTCTCAATTTATTTGCCTTTCATTTCTTTTTCTGGCCAGGACTTTGATTATCATGTTGAATAAAAGTAGTAAGAGTGGTTAACTTATTGTCTTGTTCCTTATCTTAGAGGAAAGGTTTTAACTTTTCATTGTTGAATATGATGTTGGCTGTGGGCTTGTCATATATGGCCTTTATTAAGTTGAGGTACATTCCCTCTCCACCCATTTTGCTGAGAATTTTTATTATAAATTGATGCTGAATTTCAAAAGTATGTTTCTGATGGGCCTATTTCTTTTCAACAGGCATATGGCTATGGTCCATACAGTGGTGCATACCCTCCAGGAACTCAAGTTGTCTATGCTGCGAATGGGCAGGCTTATGCTGTACCCTACCAGTATCCATATGCAGGTAACTCATGCCTACCTTTTACTTCTTACATCTTTATTTAGTGGGTAGATGAGTCCTGAAGGATTTCTGTTTCTCAGTTTAAGGATAAGTGAGCTATGTTTCTGGTATAGATCTGCTACTGTGTTTAAAAAAAAGCATTATGTATTTTTATACTACCTCAGAAAGTTAGAATATGCTTTTTAAAAACTTCACTATTGGATCTAGTTTTGTTCCCAAGGAGAGAATTTGTAGTTACTGGTATTCACTTGTATTAAAGAGCAACCAAACTAAGAGGCCAGTTTTAAGTGATAATTTCTCTTATTTTTCTCTTCTGGTTACATCCTTTAAAAATTAACACTAGTCAGGTGATATTCCCTTTTGCAGGTGAAGTAAAGGCCTGGAAGGTACTTATATTTATTCTGGGCTTTTGATGCACGTTTTCCATTTTTCACCTTTCACCGAGAAAGATTGTAGATACGAGTAACTAACCTGTGTAGGTAGTATCAAGTCCTGTGTGCAGTTTTGACAGTGGGAGGTCTAAGGTAGAGGTATTGGAGAATGCTGGCCATGAGGCTGGAGCTCCCAGTCAGGGCGAGGGGGCAGAGAGCCATGTGACTGATGTAATGAAGAGCAAGTGTCACCCAGATGCTGGGAGAGCAAGGGAAGTCTGGAAGGGGCAGGTTGCAGTAGACATGGCATGTCAGATCAACATATAAGACAATGAGCTGGTAAATAGCCTAGAACAAGAGCCCAGAGCTCAGAGAGATACAGGAAATCTGAGGGTGTTGTGAGCAAACCTAGTTCTATGTCTTAACACAGAGGCAGTGGAAGGAGAATCTGTTATCAGAAAGGTAAGTAAGTGGTTACTGATGCTAATGCCACAGAGATTCCCAGGAGTCACCAGCCCCATGTCAAAGTGTCCTTTTACTTGTTGGTGGTTACTTTGGTTTCTCATATTTTAGCACCTAATATGAGAGTTTCTCTGGTCATCTGTTTCTGAAGTCTGATGCAGTTCACTCAGCTAGCATCGAGTATGAGGGATTCTTCTTGCTTGACTTTTTCATGTCAAATTGAAAACGAATAAAATGCTGATGCTAAAAAATGAAGTATTTGTTGGTCCTGTGATCTTAGCACAACTGTTTTTTGAATTACCTTCACCATATAAAATGAATTTTTCATCTTTGCAGTCTTACATTACTTTTTGCATTTTTTTCTCATTTTAAAATTCTATATATTTTGTCTAGAATGCTGCATAATCTCCATAAGTATTTTAATGACTGCATATTATCATATTGGGTGATACATTATTTGAATCTTCTAGTATTGACTGTTTACTTTCTTTTTTTTCCTGTTTGCAATTGTAGATACTACTTTCAACATCTGATGATTTTCTTTTTCATTCCTGTTAAATCTGTTTTAGAATATATTTATATTTATATTTAGAATGTATTTATATTTAGAATATATTCAGTTCATATGTCAGAGGGCATAGACATTTATATTTCTTTTGATACCATATTTATAATAGTTCTCAAACATGCAAAAGTAGGGACAGTAGTTTAATGAGCTGTCATTTTCCCATTACCAGCTTCAGTTACCACATCATGCCTAACTTTGTTTCACCTCCATCTCCTTTCCTCATCTCTGGATTGTTTTGAGGGAAATTCGGACTTTACATCATTTCATCTGACAGTATGACAATAAATCTTGATACCAGTTACCGAGTTGATTCTCAGAACAGTTTGCCAGTTTCCAATACCACTAGGAGTTCATGAAACACTGGTTTCTCAGTTGTCCTGCAAGAGTTCCTATAGTTGTTAGCTCTGAAAGTTTTGATAGCGTTCTTAGGTCTAAAGTGAACTGTCAAGTTGCTTTAGTTTACTTTTCTCTGATGATTGGTGAAGATAAACATGGTATAATTGTTTATAAATTTAATTTCTTTGCCCATTTACCTTGGAGTTGGTGGTGGGTTTTTAAGCCCTAGCCTAACCAAGTCATGAAAGCCAGCCTCTTTCTTACTCAGTTGCAGACTTCCAGACTGGGGTAATCTCAGCTGTTTCTTACTGTTCAGAAGAGCTGAAGTTTTGTGGAAGTACTTGAGAAGGGAATTTATATAAATCAGATTCTATCTTTGCTATTCATTTGCTTCATAGGAAAAGAAAGAGCACTCTCATGTGGGCATCCTCAAGATATTTGCTGCAAAGGGCAGAGTTAAGTAGGTCGTCATTCAGGATTAGCATTGTGACCAGCTAGCAGGTGTGCTTGCTCTGGAGGGGCCGAGTTGATTTGTGGTCATCCCACAGTAGCATTGTGGTGATAACAAGACAAGCGCTCCTCAGCTCTTCTAGATACCTCAGTCCTTTGCCATCTACATGACATACTGCCTTCCATTGTTCATAGGCATCATCCTCATCATGTGTAGAGCAGGTTAAAGGCCTTCTCTCCCCCCTCCCCCCCCTTTTTTGTTTTAAGATTTTGCTTTTAATCTCCACACCCAACATGGGACTCGAAGTTAAGACCCCAAGACCAAGAGTCACATGCTCTACTGACTGAGCCAGTCAGGTACCCTAAGATTTTCTCTGTAATATGATTGGAGCTAGTGGTCAGTCAGCCAATTTAAAAAGTGCAAAGGGTGCTGTGTACATACTGTAAGTGTTCTGTTGTAATTTACCCTCATTAGTGGACAGTTGTTCAGCTGTCTTTTGATATAGGCTCTAGGTCTTTGCTTTGAGTTGGCTCCTTTGACTGGAGTTTTCTTTCTTACAAAGATTATACTCATGACACGTTATTGCACTGCACTTTCCCTTGGCAAGTACAAATGACAAGTTCAGATTTTGTGATTCTTCTATAATTTACTCAGTTCCTTGCTTTGTAAATGTTACCTGCCTTTATTTAGTTGTCCTTAAAGTATCTACTTTAGTTATGCGGGGAAACAGTATCTGCCTGTTTCACATTCACATTTTGACCATTTATGTAAACCTTAGTTAAGTTAGGTAATTACAATAACTACAACTTAGAAATGTCCCCACTGACTTGGATTAGGAGTTCCCTCCTTGGAACAGAGGTGAGCAGAAGCTGCAGGAGAGGGCTCTCCTGGTCATGTGATATGGGTGTCTCTTGGTATGTATGACCTACTGAGGGTAATGCAGATTTAGATGGTCAAAGGGATCTTTTAATTAAGTCAGCTTCCTAGTTTCTACTATCCTACATTTCATAGTTACAGTTCCCTAATTGAAGACTTTTAACTACAAGGCTGTGAAAGGAAATATTATGGTTCACCAATTTTGAGATTTAAACATTGTGTAAAAGACTGTTGACTTCCAGTGCTGTTACCTATACTTGATCAGCCCTAGGTTTATAGTGGTCTCATTCTGCTACGCTGTGGCTTTGGGTTTTTTTCTCTCCTATCTTTCTCCATCTCTTTGAGGCATTAGTGGTTATGAGTGCACACTTCTAGCTCAAGTGCCTGGGTTTGTGAGCCCTTACTGCCTTTAAGCCTTGTGTGCCTCACTTTTGCCCATCGGTAAAATGAGGATAATAATAAACTCAGTTCACAAGGTTGTTGTGAGGATTAAGTGAGTCAGTACATGTAAATGCTTGTAGTACTGTAAATGCTTAGAGTGATAAGCCTTTATTCTGCTGTTGGTTTTCATCTCCATGTATACATTACTGTTGGATTAGTGTCTAGCTCCCCTAGGGCTGAATTGTTAAGGAAACAGCGGGTCAGGGAGGAAAGTTAATGTTATTTATATTTGAGTAATTTTAAAGCTAATTAGCTGTTAGACAATATAGTTGTGAAGTATAGAAGATGTTCTCTTTGTTCAGTGATACATTTCCAGTTGTAAATTTTAATCACGCAAATTAAATACTAAATGTGTTTAAAGTTTGCTTTTTAAAAGTTTTCCCTCTAATATAATTATTTTCCCCCGTAAGGACATGATTAAAAATGAAGAATGAATTATATTAGCAGATTTAAGGTTTAATTTAAAAATCGTTTACATGAATATCAAGAAACTCATTAGCTTTCAAATGGGTTTTACATTTTTAACTTTAGGTGCAGATTCTTGGCTCTCACCTTGTCTGTAGGCTCTGTGTATCTCCCATGCTGTTCCCCCATCTACCTGTCATACTAATGAGCATGATGTGGGAGGCAGAAGTGGACATTGGAACCTGGAACTTACAGCTTCATTAGGATCCTGCTATTTGCAGTGGTTGGGGCTTTGGACCTTGCAAAGTTGAGCATCTTAATTTCCTTTTAGTGTAGTCTTAGAAACTGTCATCTGAGCCTTTGGTGAAGGAGAGCTGGGGTGTACCCACTCAGCCACCCTACACACCTCCAGAGGAAGACAGCACCGTAAGGGAAGGATGCACATGCAGGGAGATGTGGCCTTTACCATTTTCAGGACACGCTGTCTTTTTGAAGGAATGTTGGACTTAAACTGCTCCTCACAATGTCTACTTTTTTACTTCCTTTTTAGGACTTTATGGACAACAGCCTACCAACCAAGTCATCATTCGGGAGCGGTATCGAGATAGCGACAGTGATCTGGCACTGGGCATGCTGGCTGGAGCTGCCACGGGCATGGCCTTAGGTTCTCTGTTCTGGGTCTTCTAGAATCCTTCAGATCTGGATGTGCCTAGCTTCTGATGCCCTGTGTTCAGTACTATAATTTGCAGGGTGTTTCTGTTGGTGATAAATGTTTTTAATAATAGTTTGAATAGTTCTTTTGAAACTGGTGACATCATAGTTATAACTAATCCATCTACTGTAGAGAAGACTTCTGACTTTTGTTTAGCTAAAACGTGGACTCTGGCTTACTGGCTCATTCCAGAAATTTCTTTGTAGAACTCTCAGAATACTTTATTTGAACATACTTGTTTTGAAAGGCTTTTTCTTTTCAGTTAGGTGTAATGCTTAAGGGACAGTTTACTTTAGTGTTATGTTAATAGTCTGATGGTATATGAGTGAGTTATGTGGCAAGGAGAACTGCAGCTTCTTTCTGTTTAACATCAAACTTTCAAGCCTCAGATCAGAACTGGCTGCATGTAACTTCAGGAATTGTGGGCTGGTAAGTTCTCAGGAACTTCACTGAGGCAGTGGGGTCATGATATGGGTCCAGTTACTGCTCAGGATGATGGGGGAAGGGCAGCCTTCCCTCTCCCCTTCCCCCCTTTAAAATGATTCTTCCTCATTTTATTCTTTGTTTCCTTGGTAGCAATACTTGGAAAATATCCCACATTAGGAATTGACTTGAGCCTTAAAGTTTTAGGGCTTTATCCTTTAAAACTTGAAGAAGGCAAAATAGTTACAAGTATGTGGAGGTAGGTTTGTTATTCAGAGACATTATGATTTTAGTGTCTGTTCTGAGTATTTTTATTGCCACCTCAGCCTACTTATAGCTTATTTTTCTACCTGTTAAGAAAGTGCTATTAAAAGAATGGTGAGGAAAATGGAATGAGAGCCATAGTTACAGTGTTACTGTGTCAGGCCTTCAGAGATTGCACTGTGCAGAGGATGCTCTTTTCTGTCCTTCTAAAGGCTATTAAAGAGCAGGTGTCCTGTTTTGTGCAGGACTGGGGCATTGTGGCTGTCCCCCAAGCACTGGGGTGCATGGAGCCTTGTGGGGGCATAGTGAGGGCTCTTGGGACCTTGGCTGTGGGAAAGACTCAGGTTATAGATGGCAAATGAGGCCTAAGGACTTGAATGACTTGGTGTCAAGATATTCCTCAACCTGACCAGGTTGCCAGCTTTGTTTTTATTCCTGACTCAGAGAAGCTTAAACATTTAATTTTGAGTCCCAGCTATGTGTAAAGCTCACAAAACCCAAAATCCTGCCCTTCTGTTATTTACGTAAATTTTTAAAGCGCCTAATTAGTGCAGTTTTCTGTCCTGCATGCTTTAAAAAATGTACTTCTACTAAGGCAGTTTAGCACAGTAATAGTCCCTGCCCTTGCACTCCATGTAGCCATGCTTCCACAGAATATGTTCCTAGTAACACAAAATATTTTTATTTTCTATGGCCAGTTACATACATAGCTCATTTGTTTTATTGGTCAACTGACTCTATCTCTGAGCAGACTTAAATAGATTTCCATTTGAAGCCATCTGCCAAGCGACCTTTCCTGGACAGTTGTGGTGAACCTACTGCCACTGTAGAGTCTGTATCTAGCTGAAAGGAGGTACACTTGACTGTCACCTCTTTGGATATTTGGGATGGTGGAAAATTGCCAGATGATGTGTGACAACGCTGGTTTTGATGGTTAAAAATGTTGCTTTTATGATTTTACATCCTATATAATAAGAATGGCTTTGTTGAGATTGTAGTCATTACTAGAGCTGGATGCTTTACTAATAAAATATTAAACAGTTTTTAATGTTGCATTGGGGTATTAATTTTGAACATGGAGTTACTGGAAGCACAGACTACTGAGTTATATCACTGAAATGCCCAGGAAGCAGAGTCCCCCCACTGACAGAAAGGGAGGTGTGAATTGAAGCTTGGGCACATGTTGTGCACCCTGTTGGCCAGCCCGATTGGGTAGACATAGTTGAGCCTGGAAATTCACTGTTGCTGGTGACTTGATGCTGACATGAAATGCATAGTAGTTATAAAGATGGGCTGAGATACTTCATTTCCCTGGTCCAACTTCTGAAGAGGTTTATTTTGTGATCAATTTAGGTAATCCTAAATCAACGAGTTAGATGAGGTAGAAGGAACTTGTTCAGGTGTTAGTAAGCATTGCACTTTCATTAGGTACTTCTATATAAAGGACCTGAAAGAAGTTGGCCACTGACATTGCACATTTGCCAGTCTGATTGTTCTTTTAATTCCTGGAGTGTACTTCAGGTCTTAGTAAAGAGAAGGGAGAAACCAGTGGCTGTGTTTCAGATGATCATCCTGAAACAGGCCAGGCCAGGCCCCAAGACCTGGATCATAAGGAGATGTTCTATGGTTGAGATGAATGGCCCAAGTTTATTTTCTACCTCAGTTATGATCCTGTTTCATTTTTCTTTCTCCTTCCCAAGTTTATATAGACATAGGCATGGAATGCAGTTCCATTATTCCCCCCAGAACTGATCTATTTTCTGACTGCTTCTTGTGTCCACAGAACCTGTTTTTCCCTATATATGCAAATTTTATGTTTATAAGTGAAAATGTTAGTTCATTAAATGATTAACTGTAGAGCATGTTTCATTGTGACTTCTTTTTTTTTTTTTTTAATTATTTAAACTAAAAAATAAAACCCAGCTTACCCCATTTCTCCCACCACCCTCTCCCGACTTCTGGCAACCACCAGTCCTTTTTTTTAGGTTATTTTACAGTAACACCCTGTTAGCTATCTCTGCTGCATCATGGGCAATAAGAATGGCACTCACTGAGAATTCCCTAAGTGCTGGGGAATGTGTTACTACATCAGAAACCAATGAGCCATTAAATTGATAGCCTGGATTCATCCTGGCTGATTTCATCCAGCATAGCCTGGATGAAACGGGCTCAGAAGTTAAATACTTTCCTCAGGAGCACACAGGTAGTAAGTGAAATGGGTTTGTATCTGATACTAAAGCACATTCTTTTTCTCTCTACCATGTGCATATAAATAAAGTGTAATTTCCACATGAAAATAGATGGCATGAAGAAGTAGAAAACTAATGGTATCATAATCCTTAACCAGATCTACTTGGCAGTGTGGGTTCAGTAAGTTCTCCAATATTTTGGGTGCATGATTTTGTGGTGTTTGTTGTTTTTAAAAAATTACATTTTTGGGGCACCTGGGTGGCTCAGTTAAGTGTCTGCCTTTGGCTTGGGTCATGATCTCAGGGTCCTGGGATCGAGCCCCACATCGGGCTCTCTGCTCGGCAGGGAGCCTGCTTCCTCCTCTCTCTCTCTCTGCCTGCCTGCATACCTGTGATCTCTGTCTGTCAAATAAATAAAAATCTTTAAAAAAAATTAAAAAAAGAAATTTACGTTTTCTTTAGATCCTGAATTTCCTTGGTTTCCTATGGGCTAGTTTTTCTGTTTACCTAGTGCAGACTTTGATTAGATGGTGATGTGTGGTTGCATGTTACAGTTTAAGATGAGGAGTCTCATACCAGAAGCCCTGGATCTCTTGGTTTCATCTCTTTAGAAAAGAATCATCCAGAATTTTGCCTAGAGACAATTTCTGGACGTGGAGGAGAGTAGACACTCCATACACAGACTGTAGCCCTTCCCCTTTTCAGCCTGACTTTGTCACCATCTACTGCCAGGCTGACCCCTGCTGCCTCCAGATCCTTTTAAAACCTTTTTTTTTTTTTTTTAATAGGCTATACATATGCATAGCTCGAGAATTTAAAAAAAAATGAGATTCAGTAAGGGGTTTTCCACCTGCCCAATTCCTCCCCCGTCTTTGCTTAACTACTACCACTACTGGTTTATCCTTCATGGATCCTTCATGCATATATAAGCTAATAAAATATATTTTTCTCTCCTTTTTACACAAAGGGTGGTGTATATACCCATGGTACTCAGACTTTTTAGACTCAGGATCCTTTTACGCTGTTAAATTTTTGGAGACCTCCAAAGGGCTTTTTAATTTTTATTTTATTTATTTAAAAAAAATATTTTATTTATTTGAGAGCATGAATGAGAGAGCAGGAGCAGAGGAGGCAGAAGCAGACTTCACTTGGCAGGGAGCCTGTTGGGGGTGAGAGGGTCTGATCCCAGGACCCTAGGATCATGATCTGAGCCAAAGGCAGACACTTAACTGAGCCACCCAGGTGCCCCCCAAAGAGCTTTTTTATTTTTTAAAAACATTTTGTTATTTGAAAGAGAGCAAGTGGTGGGGAGGGGCAAAGGGAAGGAGAGAGAGAAGCAGACTCCCTGCTGAGCAGGAAGGCTGAGGGAGGCTTGATTCCAGGACCTGGAGATCAGAACTTGAGATGAAGGCAGACAATGTTTAACCAACTGAGCCACCCAGGCACCCCACCCCCTCGAAAGAGTTTTATAAATGTGATTTATATTCATTAAAATTTACCATATTATAAAATAAAATCCAGAGGGGCATCTGGGTGGCTCAGTGGGTTAAAGCCTCTGCCTTCAGCTCAGGTCATGATCCCAGAGTCCTGGAATCGAGCCCCGCATCAGGCTCTCTGCTTGGCAGGGAGCCTGCTTCCCACCCCCCTCTCTGCCTGCCTCGACCTACTTGTGATCTCTCTCTCTGTCAAATAAATAAATAAGGTCCTTATAAAATAAAATCCAGAAACTTAAAAAAGGTAAACCTATTGTGAGATATTAAACATAGAATTTATAAAAAATATTTTACAAAACAAAAATCAGTGAGGCAAATCGCTTTTACATTTGGAAAAATTTCTTTAGCATGTGGTTTAATGAAAATAGCTGGATTCTCCTATCTGCTTCTGCATTCAGTCTATTGTAATTTTTTTGTTGTTGTTGTTGTTTTGGTTTTTTTTTTTTTTTTTTTTTAGTTGAGGAATAGAAGGAAATCTGGACATGGACACGTGGTTGGAAAGGGAGGACCTAGCAGACACCCTGAAAGGATCTGAGACACTCTCAGGGGTCCTTGGATCATATTTGAAAACTGCTGATGTATGCTGTTCTATACCTCATTTTTCTTTTTGTTCTTTTCACATAACAGGTCTGAGGTATTTCTATATAAGCAAATAAAGAGCTTCCTTATTCATTTGATTTATCCTTTAATTTAGTCCAGTACCCATTTGGTTTTTGCTGTTGCTAACAGTTATGCTATTATGAAGTTACGGTACAAAAGTTACTTATCTCAGTGTGGGGCTCTTGAAGGGTTTGTGTTCTTGCTAGCTATGTAGAACTAGTGGATGTCAAGCTTCCCTGGAGCATAACTTTCCAAAGCTCTTACCTTGGATCACACCAAGACCTAGAAGTAAGAGTCATCCTCACTGCATGCAGAGACTGCTGTGATGAGCCACTTTAGATCTCAGGAGCTGAGTGCCAAAAACTTCACTAAGTCCCAGTCCTGTGGTTTGAATAGGAAGGGGAGAGTTGTGCTGCAGGCTGTCATTCAGGGACCACACTGGCTTCCATCTGGTTGTCTTAGAGTCCTTCCATGGATGCTTCTAACATCATGCTGGAAGAGAAAGATGGCGAAGATATATCCATTCCTTAGACTGGCAGTGATGCTCAACATTTTCATATTTCAGTGGTGAAAGCTAGTCACATGGCCCTGGCTGCAGGGTGTAGTCCAAGCTCAGGAAGAAGCTGCCCTGACTGTAGTTGCTGATGAACATACAGTAAATGGCAGATAATAATGGCCAACTATCCTAGACACTCAATGGAAATCAATTTCTACTAACCCTTATTTGCAAGATATTTATTGATTAGTACAATAGGTGGTTGCAAATTACATGTAAATTATTGGTTCACACAGCACAATTTATCATTTGGTCACAGATTTTTTTGTTCTTGTTCAATTATTTCTTTTCCTACTTACCAGTTGATGGGCAGGTTTGGACCTAGAGAAAGACAGCCACCCTTTCCAGTAACAAATGTAGTCATTTCATCCATTTCTTAAACTCATTCATCCCATCAAGTATTTACTGCGCATTGTGGCAGATTATATCATTGCCCCTGCCCTCATTGTTCCTCCTCCTCCCTTCCCTGAGAGTTACACATTCTTGCCTGCTTCTGCATGATGTACCGTGTCTCCACAGCCACTGGGAGGAACAGACCTCCCTTCCTTACCTGAGTTGTTGTATGTGGCATGCTTTGTCTCAGGAACAGTGAGGTTGCAGTGCCCAGGTGTTGAAGACAAGTGCATATTCCTGGGGCTCAAGCCCAGAAAGGCTGGAAAGGTCCAGGGTGGACTGGAGTCTTGAGTTTTCACCAGTTTCCAGGGCATTCTTTCCAGCCTTGATGCCCCTGGTCCCAGTTCTCCAAGCACTACCTGGCAGGAACACTTCTGCTTTCCTCTCACCTCTGCCAGTAGTACCTCCCTTCCACCCTTTCTGTGCCTACTGACATTCTAGGGAGGGAGCCTTTCTTCCTCTTCCAGCTCAAAACAGCAAGGAAGGGAGTGACACAGTGGGAAGCAGGCATTTGACCCTGGCTTTACACAGCTCTCTGGCCATTCTGCCTGGTCAGTGGTAAATCAGGTCAGAGGCACCTCCCCTGAGCCCTAGTCATCCAGATGACATTTCTTGAGCAGGTCATCCCCCAATGGACAGTGAACCTTGGGTGCTCTTGAGCAGTCTTTTAGGCAGGGCCCTGCCTAATTGTTGCGGTAACCTGTCAGAGGCCAACTGAGCATCTCATGGGCACAGGGAATGTGTGCCAGGTACAGTGAGAGGCTGAGGACCTGGGTCCTTGTGGAGAGGTGTTGTGGGTATGGTCCCGTGGAGGCTGTTCATCCCAGTCCTCAGGAGCTGCGTCTTATGCCCAGGTGGGGATGGCAGGTACAAGGGCAGGCTATACCTGCTCAGCTGATGAGCCGGAGGGACCATGGGAAGGACTCTGGGGCCAGCACTAAGGGAACATAGCATGGCCTCCTGAAGTCTAAGTATAATAATGACAGAACCATGACATGGATGGAACTAGAGGGTATTATGCTAAGCGAAATAAGTCAATCAGGGAAAGACAATTATCATATGATCTCTGATATGAGGAATTTGAGAGGGGGGGTGGGGGGGTTATGGGGGGAAGGAAGGGAAAATGAAGGGAAAGGAAAAATGAAACAAGATGGGACCAGAGAGGGAGACAAACCATAAGAGACTCAATCTCAGGAAACAAACAGGGTTGCTGGAGGCAGTGGGTTGGGAGGGGTGTGGGGTGAGGGTGGAGGGTGGGATAGGGTGGCGGGGTTATGGACATTGGGGAGGATATGTGCTATGGTGGGTGCTATGAATTGTGTAAGACTGATGATTCACAGACCTGTACCCCTGAAACAAATAATACATATATATATATATGTGTATATGTTCATTAAAACAAAACAAATAAAAAATAATGACAGAACCAGCCCACAAACACACAACAGTGGTCTAGATGTTTCTTCTTTTCCACTCTGTGTTTTTCCTAGGCCAATGGTTCTCTGAGTGTGGTCCCAGACCACCAGCAGCCTCCAGGAATCTATTAGAAATACAGACTCTGGCTCAGCCCAGACCTGAATCAGCAAGTCAGCCAGGTTGATTCCACTGCAAGTTCAATTCTTGAGAATGGCCTAAAATAGACTTCTTCCTCTCACCCTATCCTCACCCTCTGTCCTCCTCCTTCTCTCTGTCCCTCTAGCCTTAATCTCCCTCCCTCCTTCCCCTACTTCTCACTCTCTGTTCCATGTTCCACTTCCCTGCTGGTTCTGAGAATCACCACTGGGTGTCAGAGCAGCCCCAGGAATGTCTACTGTAAACCCCTCCCAGACCTGCCTGTGTCTCCCAGGGTTCCCACACTTACCCAGAAGAGGACGTGCTGGGATGAGGGTGTGGGCCTGATTGCAGAGTCTCAGAGTCCCTACAGCCATGCTCCGGCTCCCTAGTCACTGGCCTGGGCTGAGGCAAAGATTCAATGTTGCCCTGTCTTCTGTTTCCAGCATTTTGGGGCTGAGAAGCGGCCCCTGATTAGGTCCTGAGAGGAGGACGGGTTTGCTGAAGGTCACCCCGAGACTCTGTCAGGGCAGAGGGTGTTGCCCTGTCCTTCCTAACTGCCCAGTTAGGAGCACTTAGTGAGCACTGAGGTGGTGCATCTGCTAGAGTCTGTGGTGGGGACCAGAGTAGTGCCCAGCACCATATAGGCGGTCATGAGGGGTGTGAAGTTCACACCCAACCCTCTCTCCTGCCAAAGTGTATCTCTTGTTCTGGCCCTCCCTCCATATGGCTTCTCTAAACTCCTAGCTTTGAGTTCTGCTGGGAGCCCTGGCCTGGGCCTCCCAGGCTACTGAGGACTCCCTATAGATATCCAGTCCATATAGTTGGCCTCCCTGCCCTGCCCGTCCTGCCATACTGGTATTGTGGTAGACCATAGGCAGCCTGTCTCAGGCCCTGTCCAGCCTTGTGGCTACTTCTTCCACATGGAAGGGCAGTGTTCTTCTCCTGAACACACATCCCAGGCTTTGCCCACAATCCCTGCTGGGCTAGACCCACTTGAGCCCTCTCCTCCATTTCAGGCCAGAGTAGCGACCCACACACTCAACACACACTGAGCTCTGCTCAGTGCTAGGCACTGGGGCTGGATATACAGACTAGTTTTCTTCCTTGTGGAGCAACCACCCCAGCTTAGTGGATGCTGCAGAGTGGTGGAAGGAGCTGTAATAGAGGATGGGGGGTTATGTTGGGTTTCCAGACTGGGGCAGAGCCGTGAGTGGCCTTCAGCAGGGTGGTTCTGAGGACAGGGACTTGGAGAAATGTTGGGAGGTGCTGGAAGCTGTGTGGTGGGATGCCAAGCCTTGGGACGATTGGAAATGTGCTGTCAAACAAGCCTTGGCAGGACTTGCTGAGGGTTGGCTGGAGGATGGAGGGGATCCCTGACCAAGCTCCTAGGCTCCATCTGGTGGCCTCCGGATGTGGCTGGGGCAGAGACTCGGGAATGTGCTGTATGAAGGGAGAAGTTTCTCTTGCATGTTTTGATGGGAACATCTGGAGGGCAGGACAGGTCCGGGCACAAGGGTGGTAATTAAGGTCTGGAGCTGGTGATCAGGGGCAGAGGCATTCTCAAGGACATACCTACTGGGATGTGAGGCAGGCAGACAGCACGGAGGGTTGGAGCAGAGAAGACTTCGTTGAAAAGGGTGTATCAGTGGTGTGGTCAGGGGAGGTGGCAAGAGCGGATGGCCATTAGGTTTGGGAGTTGGAGGTCATCAGTGCCTTGACATGGGTCTGTGGAAAGCAGAGAGGACTGGAGTGGATCTGGGGCCTTTTCCTTCCTCAGGCCTTTATGGCAGGAGCCTGCCAGCTGGTGGTGAAACTCCTCTTCCTCTCTAGGGACTAAGCCTCTGAATACACTGGGTGACACAGGCTGAGCACCTCACAGAGTGGGCATGTGGACTCCAGACATGCAAAGACCCTCACAAGGGGGCCTGTGGCCATGTGAGGAGGGCAGGGGTCCAGGTGGTCAGGAAGCTACACATGGACTTGCCCAGCTGGGAACAAAGACTTGGTGTGTGCCCTAGAGACAGCATCTGCCAGGTTTGGCATTCAGCATCTGACATGGTTATCACCATCACCAACTCCACTATTTAAACAGGTCTGGCCTGAGTCACCCCAGCTCTGTGAGTGGTGGTACCCCATGCCACAGGGTCTGCAAGGAAGCCTGGTCGCCAAGGCAGGAAGGTGAGTGCCTGTGCAGTGGGGACCAGGAAGGAAAACTCTAGAGAGAGAAGGGCCCAGCTGTCTCCTCTTCCTCCTCTCGACATTGTCCCTGAGCCTCAGCAATCTCATCCTTAAAATGGGGACATGACAGCAGTTGCCTCGAGGGGTGCTCAGAAGTAGAGTTAACACATATGAGACACACTTAAAATATGCCCCACTCAGAGAGAGCACCCTGTGTGCTGCTCTTGAGGTCATTCCCACATGCCAGGATACTGAAGCATAGAGGTTAACACTGTGGTGGGCTCCTGCAGCTGTCCCTTCTCCCAGACTTGGGTTCTAGCATGTGCTCAGCACCTGGTGTGGAGGTAGGGGCTCAATAGTCATGGAATTGGGCCATCTGTGCACTGGGCTGAAGCCTTGGCCCATTTAGAATGGTCAGCATTTCCAGACACACTAGGAAGGTAGCAGACCCTTAGTGCCACATAGTGGGAAAGGCCTCTGGTCAAATAGCTAAGTCTTTAGCACCATGGAGGGGCTTTCCTTTCCTTAGCAATTCAGGCTGAACCCCTTCACAGCTGTTGACCGGACTGGACTGGGCCTCCCTTAATTTTACCTATGGTGTTTCTGTTCTCTGGTCCTTTAAACTCAGTGTTCCCTCTACCCTCACCTGCTCCCATGGACATACTCCCTGCCTCAGTATTCCCCCCCACTCCTTGTACTTGCTGTCCCCCCCCATGGACACTGATCCCTGCCTCAGTGTTCCCCCCACTCCTTTGTACTTGCTGTCCCCACATGGACACTGATCCCTGCCCCAGTGTCCCCCTCCCCCACTCCTTTGTACTTGCTGTTAAGGAGGCCCCATCCATGGGGGGAGGGCAGGGAGCCCCAGAGTCCCACCCCCCACTCCTTTGTACTTGCTTTCCCCCCCATAGACACTGCTGTCTGCCCCAGTGTCCCCCCACACTCCTTTGTACTTGCTATTCCCTTCATGGACACTGCTCCCTGCCCCAGTGTCCCTCCCCTACAACTCCTTTGTACTTGCTGTTTCCCCCATGGACATTGCTCCCTGCCCCAGTTTCCCCCCCATTCCTTGTACTTGCTGTCCCCCCACAGACACTGCTGTCTGCCCCAGTGCCCCCACTTCCACTCCTTTGTACTTGTTTCCCTCCACGGACACTGCTCCCTGCACCAGTGTCATTCTACTTCCCATCCCATTCTGTGCCCCTCCCAGCACACATCTGCTCCCAGCTCATCCTTTCGATCTCAAAGCAGCACCTTCTCAGGCAGTCTTCCCTGATCTTCAAGACAGGCCTCTCATTTCTTTTATTGTGCCTTCTTTTTTCTCTGAGTTCCTCTTCAGCTTTTCCTTTTATACATGCATATTTGTGTAATTTTTCAGTCACAGCTGTCAGTGAATTTCATTCTTTTGCATGCAGCGTCCAGTTTCCCCAATACCATTTAATTAATTAATTAATTTGAGAGGGAGACCAAGAGAGTGTGAGCAGGGGGAGGGACAGAAAGAGAGGGAGAGAAACAGAATCCCCACTGAGCATGGAGCCTGAAGCAGGGCTCTATTTCACTACACTGAGATCATGGCCTGAGCTGAAACCAAGAGTTGAATGCTCAACCGACTGAGTCACTCAGGCATTCCCCCCAACACCATTAATTGAAGATGCTATTCACTCCCCATGGTATATTCTTGCCTTCATTATTATAAATTAATTGACCATATATACTTCATTTATTTCTGGGCTCTTTATTCTGTTTCCTTGATCTGTGTATCTGTTTTTATGCCAATACCATACTGTTTAGACTAAAGAAGCTTTGTAGTATACAGTTGGCTCTTGAACAACATGGATTTGAACTGTGCAAGTCCACTTATATGTGGATTTTTTTACATTAGAGTACTGTAAATGTATTTTCTCTTTCTTATGAGTTCTGAAATAACATTTTCTTTTTTTAGCTTATTTTAAGTATACAACATAAATACATATGACATGCAAAATTTATGTTAATCAACTGTTTACATTATTAGTAAGGCTTCTCTGTAGGCTATTATAGTAGTTAAGTTTTTGGGGGAATTAAAAGTTATACAAAGATTTTGATTACATGAGGGGTTAGTGCACCTAACTTCCACATTGTTCAAGAGTCAACTATAGTTCAAAATCAAAGAGTGTAATTCCTCCAGCTTTGTTCTTCTGTCTTACTCGTTTTGGATATTCTGGGTCTTTTGTGGTTCCACAGTAATTTTAGGATTATTATTCCTAGTTATGTGAAAAACATATTTGGAATTTTGAAGAGGATTTCATTGAATCTGTAGATTGGTTTGGGTAATGTAGACATCTTAACAACATTAGTTCTTGCAATCCATGAGCATGGAATGTCATTCCATTTATTTATTGCCTTCTTCAATTTCCTTCATCAATGTCTTAGAGTTTACAATAAAGGTCTTTTACCTTCTTGGTTAAATTTACTCCTAGGTATTTTATGCTTTTTGACACAATCATAAAAGAGGTTATTTTCTTGATTTTTTCCCTAATAGTTTGTTATTATTGTATAGAAACACAACAGATATTTGTATATTAATTTTGTATCCTGCAAACTTACTGAATTCATTTATTAGTTCTAACAGTTTTTTTTTTTAAATTTAGTGAGGCCTTTAGGGTTTTCTATATAAAGTATCATGTCATCAACAAATAGTGACTTTTAATTTTTCCTTTCCATTTTGAATGCCTTTATTGTTTTTTCTTACCTAATTGATGTGGCTTAGACTTCAAGTACTATGTTGAATGAAAGTGGTGGCAGTGAGCATGTTTGTTTTGTTCCTGATCTTAGAGGAAAGTTTTTTAGTTTTTTATCATTGAGTATGATATTAGCTGTGGGTTTGTTAT